ACTTGAATGTATAACCTTGCATCTCCCATTAGAAATCCTTACAAACCAAGTTACTAGCTAGAATGGTTCCATAGGCTAACTTCACTCTCAGAGGAGTGGCTGGAATAGGCACACAATTCAGCTCTCTAGTCTTATGCTCATTAAGGAAAGTACGAGTGCTTCATGTACCAATCAAGATAAACATCTTTGCCTTCCTGACTTTACCTTGCACTATCAAGGAATTAGTTGAAGCTCCACTACTCAAAGCCTGCGTAGTAGTACTTATCACCACATTTGTAGCATGCTCCTTTGGCATAAATTCCCTTTGGACCAGCTGATGTGGAGTTCCCTTTCTGCAATGGTGGAGGTTTGTTGCCACCAGCAACACCCTTTGGCCCTTCCCATCGCTTAATTCCCTGAGAACCACTACTGACCTCTCCTGGAGCCGGCCGAAACCCAGTGATTACACCACCTCGCCACTTCTTCCTACGAGCCTCATTAGAATCTTCTTCCAACTGAGCCAACGCAAATGCATTAGCTAATGTGAGAGGTTACCACATCTTCATTACGAGACAAAGTTCTTCTGCTAACCCACTCACAATGCTGGAAACAAAATACTCCTCATCCAAAGCAGGATTATAACGAAACATGAGCGACCTTAGTTCCTCAAATTGTTATAAATATTCCAAGGGAGAGCCCTGTTGCTTAAACTTATTAAACTCCCCCATAATACCCCCATACGAACGATCACCAATCCTTCCACACAACCCCGCTACAACGTCACCCTAATTCAACTCAGTACGCCAAATCGCCATCCCTCAAACCATATATCGACACGCTTATCAAAGTAGATGACGACCATTTTACTTGTTGATTACAAGGATTTTGTAAATCTCGAATAATTTCTCACATTTCCTGGTAAATTCTCTAGGGTTCGTGTCATTGAAAGCAGGAAAATCTAACCTAGGTAGCTGATTTTGAACATTGTTACCTCGAGGGAGATACATGCTATTACTCAGAAATGGCGATAGCAACAGTTAGGGATTTAAAAATTGGGAAAGTGACAAGAGAAGATTCGAGATAGAAGACAAAGGAAAACGCGTTTGGTCTCCTCTGTCAATATTGTCTCGGTTATTCTCAAGTAGGCCCAAGCTTCTAAAGCCCACACGATAAATCAAATATAAACAGAGAAAGAAAGAAGAAAAAGGCCCACTACGTTAGTCAGCCCAAGGAGCCTGTCTTAGCAATCATCTTCTTCCTCGTTTCAATAGAAGACGAAAGATAGAGAAACAGAGTGATCAGCTAAGAACAGGGGAAAGAAAAACAGAGCAACAGCTGAAAAGAAGAACACAATCGATTTTAACGAGGTTCCCCAATCTACTAGGTCAGTCCTCGTCCTAGACTCAGTACTTCACTGAGGTCTAGGAGACTCTGTTTTTATTATTGATTTTTCCTATCAAGCAAGAAGAAACAGACATACAGACTCAAGAACGGAAGAAAAGAAAGACAAATGAAACAGCTCCCCGGATCCCGAATTCCAGACCCGTTACACCGTTAATCGAACAGACCCTATACCTCTGTTCTGATTAACCCTCTTAAGTAAATAGCCCTATACCACTGTTTACAAAGATGATCAAAACCAAGACGCTGGACGAGGATATATATATAGCTTCCTAGCTAGTAGACCGTTGCTTTGGAAAAGGAGAGGAAAAGGCAAGCCCTTGATGATATTCCTTTGATTCCGGAATTTCCATCTTTCCTTCTTTCAACAATCTTCCCCTAAGATGGAAATTGCAAGTTGCTGATGAATCCTGCAAAATGAACAGACAAGCTTCTTTCCAAACAAAAGCATGCAGCAATCAACCAAGCAAACTTCAATCACAAACGAAACATCCAAACGTCAAGACCACAGCCTGGTCAGGCAAACCGACACCACAAAACAATCAAGTTTAAAACATCCAAAATTCAGGACCACAGCCTGGTCAGGCAAACCAAACAGCGAGACAAAAAGCACAAACGACCTACTCTCTTCAAGAAGCAGATCTCCCCCTAAGTTCTGCTCCACCTAAGATCAAGCTGCATCGACGTCAGAGTCCGATCCATAGAGGGCTTGGAGAGCTGCTGCAAACGGTGCAAGCTCAGGAGCATCATCACCATTAACACTAGGGGCAGAGTCCTCAGAGTCGGAGTCACTACTGATTACCAGGATGTCATCATCACCATTCTCCCCCGCAACTGCTATTTCCAGAAGATCCATGACACCATCAGCAGTGAGGAAAATCGAGGGAGTCACCACCCGGAAGGGATTGAGATTGACATGAAGACGAGTGAGCAGGGTGGTAATGAGAGGACCAAAAGGGAGAGGTGAAGTGACGTTCACATCACAGAATGAAAGAGCTGAACCGAAAAAAGAGATCGGCAAAGCTGAGCGGTATTCCGTGAGCAGCGTGCACAAGTATCCAGAGCTCCACAGGAGTGATCAATTGCAGATTGCCAGAGCGAGGCAGGAACACACGAGAGATAAAAAAAATGAAGGGCTCGAAGAGAGGGAAAAAGAGCCGACACAGGCATTGAAAGACTTGGACCAGGGAGACGACCTGAGAGCTGGAGAAATTACTCAGATATGTCAAAGTTAAAAAGCGCGAGCTCAGACTCATCGGCAAGATTTTCCATTATAGCAGGAATATGAAGAATATGCTCGATTTCAGCCACAGGAATAGTGAGAAGCTGACCAAAGACCAGAGTGGTGAAAAAGCACGAACTCAGATGAGTGAAACGAAGATTGGAATAGAAAAACCGAACAGCATCAGGACAGATGACAGTTGAAAACGGATGGTTCAGTAAAAAATTCCAACCCAGGTTTTGAATGAAAGGGCGGACGTCAAGTCCCACCTCAACCAGTTCAGGAATCTGAACATGATAGGAAGGAAGAACCTGTCAGTTTGCAAAGAACAGCTCATGGTGATGGGCATTTGCAGGGATGGGTTCTAAAAACAGAGTACCAATAAAAGTACGCAGGAAAGGGAGAGCCATAACTACCAGCAAAGAAAAGACAGAAAAAACTCGGAAGGAAATAAAAGAAAGACAAATGAAACAAGAAAAGATTCGAGATAGAAGACAAAGGAAAACGCGTTTGGTCTCCTCTGTTAATATTGTCTCGGTTATTCTCAAGTAGGCCCAAGCTTCTAAAGCCCACACGATAAATCAAATATAAACAGAGAAAGAAAGAAGAAAAAGGCCCACTACGTTAGTCAGCCCAAGGAGCCTGTCTTAGCAATCATCTTATTCCTCGTTTCAACAGAAGACGAAAGATAGAGAAACAGAGTGATCATCTAAGAACAGGGGAAAGAAAAACAGAGCAACAGCTGAAAAGAAGAACACAATCGATTTTAACGAGGTTCCCCAATCTACTGAGTCAGTCCTCGTCCTAGACTCAGTACTTCACTGAGGTCTAGGAGACTCTGTTTTTATTATTGATTTTTCCTATCAAGCAAGAAGAAACAGACATACAAACTCAAGAACGGAAGAAAAGAAAGACAAATGAAACAGCTCTCCGGATCCCGAATTCCAGACCCGTTACGCCGTTAATCGAACAGACCCTATACCTCTGTTCTGATTAATCCTCTTAAGTAAATAGCCCTATACCACTATTTACAAAGATGATGAAAACCAAGACTCTGGACGAGGATATATATAGCTTCCTGGCTAGTAGACCGTTGCTTTTGAAAAGGAGAGGAAAAGGCAAGCCCTTGATGATATTCCTTTGATTCCGGAATTTCCATCTTTCCTTTTTTCAACACATGCCCTCCTGCTCGCCAACTCTATTCACCGGAGCAAACTCTCGAGGCGCCAGAGGTAATAGCACCGACTCAGCTACCCGTCGACCTTGCTGAGGCTGGGGCAAGATCCCACGATCACCATTCCGGTCCGCGAGCGGCTCAACCGCACTGGCAACGACGAACTCTGCCCAATTCTGTCCCTGATCCAAACGGCGGAGTATGTCCTCCAATTGACCTAATTGCTCGGCTTACTCGTCAAATTTGGTGTCGATTCCTTCCAATCGAGTCCTGATCGTAGCCAGCTGCGAATGACCATCGGCATTCGTCGACAACGCTTGAAGCTGAAGGCGTGAGCGATAATAGAGCCTTCCATCTCTGTTTCTTTGTGAATGGTTTGATCCATGAAATTCGTCAAATGGTTGAGTCGCTCATCGATTGTACCACGGGTGATCGCCATTGATGCCAAGACAAGGGCGTTGATATCACTTTGTCACACCCTGTAGAGAAAGGAGCGTCTTGGGGTGTTCGGTTTATGGGAAAAGCAGAGGAAAGAGAAAGAAGTCTCGAGAAGAAAGAGAGAGTGGGTCAAGGGTTAATAAGTCACCCGTTTGATCCCGGAAATTTGAAAAGAGTTATTATATTGTACTTATCCTGATAATTTATATCAAATCTCATCTAACATATGAGTAATAACATATAACATTACACCAAAGTAACATATCGTACTTAGATCCAACATATAGCGAAAGTTCACACACTTATATAACATCAATATTCAAATGTTCGACTAAGGATTTCAAAGATTGAGTTAGCCGAAAAGAAAAATCGGAAAATAGGCGCATTTCACAAACCAAAGAAAAAAATGACACAATTTGACCTCCAACCCGATACCTTGTAGCGGTCGACCCGGCGGGTGCGTGCGACCGGTTTTTCTCATCGCGTCAGGGTCAAAGTGGGGTCGACCCGCGGGTTGACAACCTTGGTTCGGATGTTGTTACAGCTCAGCCAATCGACTTTTTATATCCGTTAGCACAATTACAGAATCGATACTCTTATTACGTCTCTATTTACAACTAAGTCCTCCAAACTTCTCTACAATTACACGAGTCCTGTTCGTTACATTTTGGAGCAGATGAAGGCGCCGCCAAAGGACCCTTCGATCCCTGAGATACCGGCGGCGGAATTGGTTTGGGGCTTTCGGCGGATGGGATTCTTTTTGGATTCCCCACGAGGTACGGGTCCATGGCTGCACAAATGAAGTCGTCTTTCGGCTCCACCGGGCAATTGTGGAATGAGCAGAAGCTCGCCGGGAAGCCAGCTGGGTTCTTTGTTAGCACCGGAACTCAAGGCGGCGGTCAAGAAACCACGGCGTAAGTTTTCGATTCTTTTCTCACTTCCATGCTACATTCTTTCGCAACTTATCTGATTGAAACGTTCCCATGATAGAACATTAGGTAATCCATATCAGAGAAGAAGAATTGTTGCCATGGAAGCTGAGTTGGCACATCCAGCTTCTATGCTATTGCTAACTCAAACCGCATTAGTCCTTCTGATATAACGACCTTGTCCCATAGCTAATGTGTGTTCAGTTTTGATGGTTCCCGTTAGTGATCAGAATCATAACCAGGTTAAGAACCGAGAAGATTCAGAATTCACGTCACATAGACAGATTTTAATTAACTTGCCTTTGCCAACTGAATGCTGAGTGTTTGAGGTTGCTGCATGTTGGAAATTTGGTTGAACCAGACGAACCAAGTCAAACCGGTTTTAAGTTGGACCGACCAATCGGTTTGGGATTAGACCGACCGAACCGATATTCTAATTCCATGAAGGGACACATCCCTTTGGCCTAGTGGCAGTTGCATTATTTTATGGATAAGGATTACCTTATAGATAAAAGCAATCCTTCATATGGATAAGAATAACCTTTCATATGGATAGAGGCAACCTTTCATATGGATAAAGACAACCTTTCATGAAACAATGCATGGATTCGACCCCTATAAATATGTGTGGGGTGGATGATGCCACATACCATCAAACATATTCTTCTTTTTTCTTCCAAAAATTTCTAAGTATGCTTTAGTGTTCTTGAGCCTGGAACCTAAAGTGGTGATAGTTTTATCCTCGGGAGAAATTTTCTGTAACCCTAGGCTTGTTGAGGGTGGAAATATTTTTTTCGGAAAGTAAACGTTGTTCACGACTCTATCACAATCCTGGTCACCCGATCTCGGGCTATCGTACGTATACCCTCGTCCCTAAAAGTCCCAACAATCGAAAAGAATATTTTTCGGTACGATGGCTCGAACCGCTCTTTACAAGAAACCGGTTCAGGTCTATGGAATCCTGAGAATTTTCGATGATGGGTATTTCATCGATGGAAGTAGAAGAGGGTTTTTCTTCATACTAGTCTCATGGTGTATTCCATATCAAGAAGGTAACTTGGAAGAGGGATGATTCGAAGATGAGGAAGGAGAATGATTCGTAAATTGGAGAAATAGAAGAATGGAAATTGCCTTTGGGTAGGTGATGACTCGATATTTGCACATGTTTTCCCCTTTGTTTCTTGATCGTTTAAGCTTTCATTATCGCTTCTTTGGCCTATTTTACGCTAGGTTGTGTTCCTTTGTCACATTTCAGGTCCTAGCACATAAAGTGAAGCGTAGGCGCAAGTTTCAAGTCAATCGGAGATCAATTGGCGACTCGGGGGAAGAAACTCGGGTATGACTTGAAGAAGATGGATTTCTACCTCAGTTTGTGACCATATAATCATGTAATCTTGTCATGAAAAGAAAGAGAACGAGACTACGAGCGTCTAGGATCAAACGGCACCTAATTTGGAGTCCAAACGAGGGAGAAACGAAGAATCAAAGATAGGGGAAAATTGGTTTCGGGCTTCTCTGAGAAACAGAAGGGGGCCCTATCGTGAACCAAAATCCCCGGTCGTGAACAAAAAATCCCCGGTCGTGACCTAAAATACCCGACAAGGGATTTTGACCGGGGATCGCGAACGTAGGCTGTTAAAAGCCTGTTTTGTGCATTTTTGCAAGAGAGAGCTGGGTTTTGGATTTCAAACACCCAAGGGACGAACCAAAGAGAGAGATGGCAATTTGAGGGCATTCTAAGAGTGGAATTGTGGGATTTCTTTGCCTTGGAAGCTCGAGGAACAAGCCCGGACTTGAAGACTGATCATCTGAAGATTCTTACTACAGTCTCTCTCTTCTCTATGGAGTAACTTCCCTTCACTTAGGTTTTGAGGAACCCTAGCTATGTTAGTTTGATTGGATGATTGTATGAATACTCCTACTTGATAATCTTGAGTTCATATTCAATCTATGCATGTTTTCATGATTCAATTCTGCTTTGATCCTATGAGAGCGAATACCTGATTAGGTCAATAGAGCACCATAGATTGATAGTATTGGATCGATTGCTTTAGTCGAGGGTTGATTCAATGCTTTGTATCAATTGAGAACCTCATTCGATAGAGGGAGTCTAGTTCAGAACGCCTTGATCGGTTGTTCTAGAGAAGGATACGTCCCTCTAGGCAATCGACTCAAGAGGGCCTTGTTCCTTTAGTCGAGACTCAAGGTCTAGTTAAGGATTCTCCGCATTGTGAATGAAAGTGAAACAAGTTAGATATCATCAATCATTAATCTGGCTAGTGGCTAGGGGGAATCATACCTAAATGAGTTCCCAACCTGTAATTAGATTAACTTTAACTGTAGTTTGCTAGAGTAGTTTTAGTTGTTCCGTCTTAATCTGGTTTGCTAGATAATGAACTGAAGCTGAGTAATAGTAACTCTAGAGACCCGTGGATTCGATATTTATTACTTGAGCCACTATACTGCAGTCCCTTTCATTGGTTACACTTGGCCATTGTTAGGAGTTGTGTCATAGCGAGTCAGTAGGTCACATACTCAATGGTTAATTTGTCTAATTCTCTATTCGATGTTTACGAAGTGCTAGACAAATATGGATTTGTCTAGTGGTTTGATGATGTGGTTTTGTCTAAGTGGTTTATGTTAAACCAAGGAGACAAAATTGTATATACAATGTTTGATGATTCTGGTAGAAGAATCGTTGTGTTTGTATGTAGATGACATATTTATCTTTGGGACCAATCAAAGATAAGTGATTTTGTCTAGTGGTTTATGTTTTTTTAACCATGGAGACAAAATGCGTACACAATTTATGATGATTCTAGTAATGAAGTCATCAAACATTTGTATGTATAAGACATGCTTATCTTTGGAACCAATAAAAGATAAGTGAATTTTGATAATAAGTTGTTATTTCAATTCTCCATGAAGGACATGGGGAGGTAAATGTGATTCTGTGAATTGAATCAAGTGGAAGGACAAGAAAGAGTCCTTCTCTCAATTTTTCTGCATGAGAAGGTACTTGCATAAATTCCATAGTAGGAATTGTAGCGAGTTAAAGATCCCAATGGATCCAAGTATGGAACTTATGGTTAATACTGGAAATCAGTTTTACAACTGGAGTATTCCATGTCAAATTGGGGGATTGATGTATTCATGACTTACATGATGCTAGATATCGAATATGCGATAGAACAATTAAGTTAGTACGTGATGAATCCTAGTTCTCATAATTTGAATGAAGTGAGGCGTGTACTAGGATATATCAAAGACACACTGTATTAACTTATAGTGGCTTTCCATCAATTTTGGAAGGATTTGTTGATGTTAGTTGGATTTCTCGTGTTAAAGGTGATACTTCAACATTGAGATGGGTCCTCTTGCTTGGGAGAGGTGCCATATTTTGGGCCTCTAGAAAGCAAACTTGCATCACTAATTTCACTATGGAATCAAAGTTTGTGTGGTCTTGGTTTTTCTTAGAGAAGAGACATAATTGTTAAGAGGTTTGGTTTATGACATAGATTTATGGCCTAAACCAATCTCACATATTACTATCTTTTGTGATAGTAATGCTAATTTGGCTAAGGCATATAGTCAAGTGAAAATGTCAAGTACGGTCATGTGGAAGTAAGACACGGTAAAATCTTTGAACTGGTCATTCATAGAGTTGTGTCTAAACAATATGACCAGACTCGAGATAATTTGGTTGATCATTTGACGAAGTGGTTAACTAGTGACTTGGTGATTAAGTCTGTGAAAGGGATGAATTAAAGTCCATATAATTTCTGGTAATGGGACACCCAATTCCCCTCTAATACAACGTTAGAGGCTGAATTCAATGTGGAAAGCTTATTATCAGAAATTGAAGCACAAAATTTGTCATCCCGAGGTATGTGCTTGTTATCCTGCATGAGAGAAGAGGATGAAGTTTAAAACTTCTTAATTGAATCTTTAAAAAAGTGTATTATGCGGGTACACGAATAAGATATTCAACCTACGTAAGCATGAAGTGTAGCCGCTTCAAGAAATCCAGACTTTGGTTTCGTGTGCGCTTATGAGAAGGATTGGACACATGGCGGATAATAGTGTCAAGGCGCTTAGAAGTTTTGAAAATTTAAGTGTATATTATCTTCGAATATTCATATGAGTCAATGAGTTCAATCGTTACCGACACCCTTTGTATTCGAGTATTCGTCAAGTGTAATATACTAAGGTGAAAATTCAATCGTCACAACATTTTCATTTATGCTTAAGTTTTGTTGGAAGAATGTTGTGATTTTAGTGAATTCTATGAATACACTAAAATGGGGGAGGAATGTTAGAAATTTGGTTGAACCAGACTAACCAAGTCAAACCGGTTTTTGGTTGAACCGACCAATCGGTTTGGGATTAGACCGACCGAACCGATATTCTAATTCCATGAAGGGACACATCACTTTGGCCTAGTGGCAGTTGCATTATTTTATGGATAAGGATTACCTTATGGATAAAGGAAACCCTTCATATGGATAAGGATAACCTTTCATATGGATAGAGGCAACCTTTCATATGGATAAATGTAACCTTTCGTATGGATAAAGGCAACCTTTCATGAAACAATGCATGAATTCGGCCCCTATAAATATGTGTGGGTGGATGATGCCACATACCATCAAACATATTCTTCTTCTTTCTTCCAAAAATTTCTAAGTATGCTTTAGTGTTCTTGAGCCTGGAACCTAAAGTGGTGATAGTTTTATCCTCGGGAGAAATTTCCTGTAACCCTAGGCTTGTTGAGGGTGGAAATATTCTTTTCGGAAAGTGAACGTTGTTCACGACTCTATCACAATACTGGTCACCCGGTCTCGGGCTATCATACGTATACCCTCGTCCCTAAAAGTCCCAACACTGTAGGGTTACGCTTTTGTTTGTGAAAATTGGCACTGACCTAATTGATAATGTTTCATCTATATGTCCTACTATTCTGATAAAAGCAATGTTGCCAGAACCAAA